AGTATCGCAATATATCGGGATATATCGTATCGTGACCCCTCTGTCATGATATGTATCGTATCGCCAAATTCTTGCCAATACACAGCCCTAGTTATTAAAAAAGTTATTTAACTTTGCTCCACCTTAAATGGTCTGATAATGACGACGTTAAACTTCTGGTTTTAGAAAAATAAAATGATGAACTGTTTTCCTGTTTTTGGAGTATAAAATGGAAATACCATCTGTTTATTAATGTCTGTTTTTTTTAAACGAATCAAAGTACACAGACCCTATTATCATAATTTGCACAAAGTGATGTTTTTAATTTGTAACAACCAAACTTTTCTTCTTATATTTTTGCAGATGGGCGTTCAAATCTTCACCAAGAGGCCTGCGAGTAAAGATCAGCCTGAACTGAACCCAGACGACGTGGTCGCCTACCTGGGAAAGCACAGCCAGGCGCTGCTTCTCTACCTGGAGYATGTTGTGCTGGAGAAAAGAATACAGGTAACTGTAAATCACAAGCGTGATTAAAGACACTGAGTTCAGAGAGCTGAGCGTGCTGATTCAGTCAGACAGGAAACAGATCAGCACAACGGCAGTGCTGACGAATCACTGCTGATACGACCAGCAAAACGTTAAAAACTGCCAAATGCTGTGGTTTAGGCAGCGACTCGGGCTGAAATGAGAAGTTTGTTTCTGAGAGCAGCTGATTGTGACCCGCTGTTGGAAAGCAGAACCACCTCTGCAGCCGATCCAAACGGTAGGAATCAAAAGATTCCCCCAGGAGTATCACTTCAGTGAAGAACTTGTTTGAACAGTTTCTCCTCTGAACCACATTCTGGATGTGAAAGTTTCACGAAGCGGGTCACATGAGACCCAGGCGGCRCTCCTGAAAACTTCCTCCTACGGTTGTCACAGAGACTCTGCTCGATGAGAAGCTGGAGCTCGTCCACGTCCCGCCCAGACGAGCACAGGAGGCGTCAGATTCATGTTTTTTATGAATTAACATTTTTCTCACGTTTCCACCTCTTCCAGAAAGAGAAGTTCCACACACACTTGGCCGTGTTGTACCTGGAGAAGGTCATGTCGTTGCTGTCAGGTGATGAAGACGAGCAGCTGGCCAAAGCCAGGGAGAAGCTGCAGGCCTTTCTCAGGGAGTCCAGCTTGTACCGCGTACAATTCATATTAGGTAAGACAAACGTTTAAAGATTACTGCTACGTGACTTTGGCTGTACGGCACTACGGTTTTACTGTGTTTTGATTAGGGCTGGGTATCATGGCCAATTCTCTAAATCGATTCGATTTCAGTTCATAAAGTTCTGATTCGAAGATTTGATTCGATTTAAAGGCACAGTGTGTAGGATTTGTTGTTTTCAGCGACATCTAGTGGTTGAATAATCCTCCCTGGTCCTCCCCCCACCCCCTCCCCCTGCTTCCAAACACTACGGTGTCTCTCAGTTGTCAAAAACCTTTGATAATTCCAACTGCGATGTCTACCAGCAGCTTCAAGTGGTAAGATTAAGAGCTTTAATAAGTAAAATTATACCAGCTATGTTTACATCCACAAATTTTTTTAATCGAATTGAAATGTATTCAGATTAAATAATCCGAATGTACTGTTTACATGGACACAATCCGATCATGACAAGTGTTTACATGCACTGGACTTTTATTCAGAATAAAAGTCCGGACATGCGCAGTGTTGTAAACATTCAGCTCTACTTCCGTGTTACAAACGTAAACAAAGCTCCTCTGTGCGCTCAGGACAGACCGTGTCAGCTTTTAATAACGGTAGAGACGCCGTTACTCCTCGATTGAGCTGCAGATGAAGCAATACGTGCTTTTTATTTTTATTTTTTGCGAAGCAACGTCTGCTGTTTGCCTCCTTTTTCATCTGTTAAGAGAGCGAGGAGGAAAAGTTCTGCATGGTGCTGCGCAGCTGGAGCGCTGCTGTCCCATCGGGTAAATGAAAGTCAGCAGACATGCACACAGTTCAGTTTTCTACAATCAGAAAAAGATGATCAGATTAAGTGTTTACATGAGCCTCACTCCGATTATCAATCGGCATAACCCACCCTTTTCATTCGGATTAAAAATTCATTTGGATCGAGCTCAATCAGATCAGAATAATCCGAACGGGCTGTTTACATGACGCATTTTTATTCCAGACGGCCGTTTAATCTGATTACTTTTGTCCATGTAAACGTAGCTAATGACATACAACAAATATTACATTTATAGTATTACAACTAAAACCATTTTTGACGCCGCCACCGCAGTTTGTCCTTCATGAGCCTTCGTAGACAAGATGGCGGCTGCCTGTGTGGCGACCCGCGACCAATTTTATCAGGTAAAAATAACAAAACAAAGTCTTTGTCTGCAATGATTAGACATGTTTTTTTATTATTGTCATTAGTGATTATCTTAATTTCGGCTAAAAGACTTGACAGAATCCTACAGACTGTTCTTTTAACAAAGTATTTAGTTTGTTTACAGCCTCAGCTGGACCACCCTGGCTGCTGTAGTAAATAAAATAAATCACGTTTTAAAGATGATTTTAAATTAACTGACTTTAAAAC